GTGTCACAGCACAGCTGCTAAAGCTGGCTGGCTAGGGAGGAGCTGCCAGGGCCCAGGGGCATGGCACTTAGGTAGTATTGAAAAATAAAACTTCAAGTGTGGTTAACTGATCTACTAGGGTTTTATTATCAATTCATGAACTGGAGCAGCAAGCCGCCAGCAAAATTAATAAAGGTACCTGATGAGCTGAGCAGAGTTGGGTTTCATAGGCAGAAAGGGCTGGAGAAAGCAGAAATGGGGGAACAAAAAGCTAATTGTCATTTTAAAGTTACTATCCTGATAGGGTTAAACTGGGCAGGAGATATAGCTCAGTTGGCAGAGTGTTTGCCTAGTATGTGAAAAGTCCTGGGTTCAGTCCCCTAGCACCTCATAAAACAGGAGTGGTGGAGCATGCCTGGAATCCCAGCACTTGGGAGGTAGGGGCAGGATGATCCAAAGTTCAATATCATCCTCAACTACACAGCAAGTTTAAAGCTAGCCTGGGATACAGTGGACCCTACCAAGACAAAATGGTACCCTTCTGGTTGACCACTGTGAATGTAGGCTTTTTTGGAAAGTAGCCTGTTTGAAGTTCAGTTGGATTATGTGGCTCCTAGCAGGGGTAACACCATTCTGGTTTGGTTTGGTCAGGATCTCAATTCAAAACAACAGCCTTCTTTAAGTTCAATTAAACAGTGGAGCTCTGCCTGTCCTATTCAGCCCTAGTTGTACACGTCCCCTCAGGAGTGCACCGAGAGGCTACCCACCCCCCAGTGGTACTCCAGTCCTCTCCCTGCATCATGGCTCCCCAGAAGTCTGCTGAATGCTTCCTCTTCCACAACCAATCTCTTTGCCTTGTCTCTTCCTGGCTCTCCTCTCTCCCAATTTCAGCCTGCCTTCTGGCCTTCTTTCCCCCTTTTTACCTCCCTTGTCGGAGAAGCATGGCCCCATGCAGCCCCTGGGGCCCCAGCATCTCACACACAACTTGGCTCACCCTCACCCAGTTCTACCCAATCTAAATGTCTGCACCAAGTGGCTCGAGGGTAATGGTTGCATTCAAGAGGGTTGCTTGGCCACCATGAACACCAGCTCACCCTTCTTGCAGCCTGCAGTGGAGGTGCCTAATGGTGGGGCCCAGACTGTTCCACACAGCAGAGTCCTCCTCCAGCCTCAGTGTGGCAGACTCCTCCTGACTCCAGCTTCCTGAAAGGCCCCAGGGAGGCAAGTGGCAGCTCTGGCTGCCAGCTGCTCTCTTAATTAAGGAATGCAGGGAGTGGCCCCTTTGAACTCACCTGCTAATTTACTCTAGCACACTCCCTCCTGTGGCTGGGTAATTAATGTGGCGTGAACCAGTGATTAACAGTGCTGGGGAAAACCTGCAGGCCGCAGACTTTAACCCTTCCCTGCACCTAGGACTGAGCACTTCCTTCTTCCTCCCAACATTCCCCAGCTGTCACATGGGAGGAGGAAGGGGATTCTCCCCGCTTCCGGGGGGTAGGACATTTACCAGTCCTTACCCATCCTCACCTTCTCTCAGCTTCCACAAAATTCCCCTAAAAGGAAGGTTTAGAGGATCATTAGGGTAACCAACTCCAACTGTCCAGTATGTCTTCCAAAAGAACTCAGGATCTGGTCTATGCTGGCCACACCCCTGCTTCCCACAACCCATGCTAGACCCAGGCCTTTACAGGCCAGAGTTATCCCATCCAATCAACAGGTATTTGGGAGGTATCACCTCACAGAAAGTCTTGACACTGGACAAGATGCAGAAATGAAGGTTCCCTGCTCTCTGCCCTCATGGGGCTTCTGGTCTAAAAGAGTCAAAGCAGGGGCTTGCTCTACCTCATGCATTCCTGTATCCTCACCTACCAGCTTTTTCTGCTTCCCTATCTCTGGCCACTTAGTAGCAGCAGTGGTTGACATTTGAACCTCACTGTGGATTAGATCTATGGTAAACCCTGCAGGTGTTCATTGGCAGCACTAAGAGGTGGATCCTGTTATTAATCCCTGTCCTCAGATAAGCACACTGAGGCAAAGAAGCTACTTTGCACATGGCTTCACAGCCAAAATTGAATCCAAGTTTAACTCTGGAGCTTGAGTTCAAAACCCCTACCCCCCATCTGCTTTGTACTCTAAGGCTCAACTCGAACACCCACCCTTTAACCAAGGCTTCCCCAGTCTCCCACCCACCCAGGCTGGGGCAGGCCCCTGCTCTCTGGGTTCCATAGCATTCTGTACACACTTCTGCCATTGTTCTCACTATATTGATTGTAATTATTGGGTTGCATATCTCAGCTCCTCCTCTACCAAATCCTTAAGGGCAGGGGCTAAGCCTTTCATCTCTGTGTCCCCAGCACCTGGCACATAAATAGATGCTCAATAAATGCTTGATGAATGGATGACAGAATTGACTAGAGAGCCATAAATGATTCCCTACCCATGGCGACTCTACCCTATGTCCCTTGCAAGTTCTGCTGGGAT